TCCTATTCTATCCAATTTGTCATCAATCCACTCTGGGCTTCGCACAAATTTGCCGAAATATACGATCCTGTGCTTTTCTTTTCCATTTCTGGCCGAAAAGCTTAACCATTGGTTCATCCCATCGAATACGAGGTCTGCCCAAGTGTCGCTTTTGGTCTCTTGGTATCCAGTTCATTAGTCAATATATCAATCGGCTGTCATTTCTTCGTGCTGTATGCCCTGATTGTCTTCTTTTTGCCTCATAGATTTGATTAACCACATCACATACCCTGGTCCTTTGACACAGCTCTTTCTTGCTGACTTTATCTCTTATTATCTTATTGTCATGCCACATTTCCTTCTTTCCACTGCTGTCTGAGGGCCGTTCCAGACAGGCCCCCTTCTTCTTCACACATCCTTTCCAAAGAAATTAGACAGTCCCCTTCTCTAGCCACCTTTAGGAAAGAACTAAAAACAAGGATGCGGAAGCAGGCGTTCTGAAATGATTAAGTATGACTTATCATGATGATGAACTGGTTTTTGCTGTGGTGTACTATATAATCCAGCAAAATTTTAAACAATGTATTTTATTATGGTGTTGTTATTTTAGTTCTTAGTTTGCTTTGTTTTTGATATTGTTGTTTATGTATTTATTTTATGTTTGTTTTGGTTTTGTACTGTGACTTATTTTCTGTAAGATGCCCTAAGTCCTGTTTGGAGAGGGAGCGAGATAAATGAAGTTTTTAATTATTATTATTAGTTGTTGGAGATCATGTTGTAAGTCTTCCGGGTTTCTGGTGAAAAAGACGCAATCGTCTGCAAAGAGATGAGAAAGTTGTTCGCTGTCAATTGAAATCCCGCCTTTAAATTAAATTTTTTAGAAGATGCCTTCCAAAGTCACTGCAAAGTTTTGGCAATATTGTGTCTTCTTGATGCACTCCTTTGTTTATTCTGATATGACACACTCCTGACAGCAAAAATGTATATATATGTATGTATATATGTATGTATACATTTGGGAAGAGTTAATACTGAAAGATGTTTGTGTTCTGACTTACAAATTCAGCTTATATATATCAGCTTTGGATAGCATAAGGAAGAGTTAACACCCCTGTGGTGTTTGTTTTGCTGTCTGTGCCCCCGTTTAGACTATTTCACCTCACTTTCTGTCCCTGTAATAATTGGATTTTGAAAAAAATGGCTTATTCTGCAAACAAGGATTGGTGATAAAGCTTCAGTGGAAACACCTTTCCCCATAACCCTTCCAGGAATGAATTTCCATTACTAAGGGTATTTTTCTCTCACCTTCTGTTGTCTCAACCTCATTCTCAAGTGTGAGGCAATTGTAAGTCAGATGTTTGTAACTCAGGAATTACCTGTAATGCGGTTTGACACCACTTTAGCTATGTGGCTATGGAGCCACGTGAGTTAGTTTTACAAAGTCTTTAGCCATCTCTACTCAAGAAAGCAGATGCCTCACCAAACTACAAAAACTAGGATTCCATAGCATTCAGCCATGGCAGTTAACGGGGTGTTAAACTGCATTAACAGTGTAGATACACAATTAGATTAGCTATACATTGTAGATGTAGTTTGACAATGCGGTGGTATTGTGTAGTTTGGTGAAGCACCAGTACACTTTAGCAAAACAGGCTAAAGACCTTGTGAAACTACAACTCATTGAGCTACAGCAGTAAAAGTGTAGTCAAAGTGCATTAATTCAAAAATGTAGACGCACTCTTACTGGAAGGAAGCTTATTTTAGAAGGAGCCAAACAGCAAAATAAAACAGTCACATGCAAGCAATGCCAACTAAAAGGCATGAAACGCTTTGTGTAATTTTTGAAGCTCCACAGGTTTTCTCATTAGGCAAAAAACGTTTTTAAAAAATCATACCAGAAAAAGAAAATGACATACTGGAGTGAAAGGCCTACATTTTGTATCAGATATTGTTTCTTTTGCCTTGAGATCCTGCTAGATTAAATATGTTATTTCTGATCTGTTAACAAAATGCAGGCCATTGTTTTGAACACCATCATTTTTCTTTTCCTATATTATTTTTAAACATCCTTTGCCAGATGAAATCAGTGAAGCTTTGAAGTGTTTGGTACATTTTGGTTTGGCCAATGGTATCACTTTTTTGTGGATTTTGTTTGGTTTTGCTGTATGTAAACAAGAGGAAACTATGGATTGGGACTTAACCCTGTGAGTTTTCTACCACAACCTTGAGATCTATATAGCACTTAAACATTTTTCCAGATGTAGCAGTGCAGATTTCTTGATGGATTTCACATCTGCTACTTAAGAAAGAGTCTGATAACTACATAAAAGATTGAGACATTCCTATATCCCAAGAGGAGTTATTTTGCTACTGGCAGAGCTGGAATTTAATTGTTTGTCTCAGTCTCACATGGACTAAAGTGAATCAATTAAGTAATACAGAGGAAAATTGACTGCTATAGATGGAAATGGTGGTTTCATTAAGAAACCTTCATATATAAGTTTTTCCTGTGTGATCTCCAAATTACCAAGAGGTTCAACTAGGTGACCTTTAGGGTTCTCTTACAACTCTACAAATGCTTGGTTTTGGATAGTAAGGTAAAACCAGATGTTGCCACAACTTTTATTACAGCTGTTATCAAGGGTACTCCAACACATGGGTCTGGATCCGGGCATCAACTAACCTGCTCATTGATCTATGAACCCACAGAAAGCAATATGACTACCTGGCAAATTGGTTGGCATTATAGATTTGGGTCTTGTTTGTGCATTATACTTGGGGAACTACAATGGGAGTGTCATGGCAGGAGGTAAAAGACCACAGGTGCTGTGGTTTTGGAGGAAATCAAGCTTTGGAAAAACAGACTGCTTGGAGCCAGCAGGTGGTAACTGGATATATCTCAGACTCTATTATTAAGGAAGACCTCATACTCCATGAAAATGGAAACCCCTGCTTCTGTATTTTCCTTCCTTTATATTAATGTGTTGTTTGTTCACCCATCTTAGAAAGGATATTTTATTCTATGGATGAAAAACAAATTAGAATACATTCAGTTAAGTACATTCTTTGTGCCAATTAGAGCAAGCCTACTAAATCCATGGGAGATCGGCAAGTAACAGATGGTTCCCTCCAATCTGTCAAATATGAGCCAACATTTCAAGAAATATCAGCAATGGCAACTCAAGTAAATAATGTGACATCTAGTTGATATAGCTGCCTTGTCCTCTTCTGTAACCTAGAGATTCAGGGACAGAGCAGCATCTGTACTATCTGTGATCTGTGGAAAAATAAGTGCATGCTTTTGCTTTGTTTCTAATATTTTATTGCACTGTATTAACTTGTATAATAGTCACACCCTTTTTTTGGGGTGCAAAATTGGTCTTTTACTGTTTCTCACATAATAGCCACAGGCTTTATTGTCTTGACTGCACACCTGCCCAGGCAAATAAATGAAGATGTTATAAAACTCACCTGTGCACCTGCCCCCTTTGCAGCTATAGGTAAAGCCCTATAGCTAATTTTTTCCACCACATAATAGTCGCCACTGTGTAAGTGACACTCCTCTTTTTCAATCAAAAGGGGAGGAAAAAGTGTGACTATAATACGATGAAATACATTATTTTCAATATACTGTGAACCATCTTGACAACTTTGAACTTAGAAGGCAGACTATAAATCTTGAAACAGCTTTTTCTTCCTGTGTGTTGAACTCTCTTGCTGATTTTACTTGACTTAGTGCTGTTTAAGCATGATGTTCTTACAGTATCATCCTATCAGTGGCTTCCAGACAGGCGCTTTTGAACTGTGGTGCTGGAGGACTCTCAGAACCAGATCAAATCACTCCTTACTCCAGGAAATAAAGCTTGACTGCTTGACTGGAGGGAAGGATATTAGAGGCAAAGATGAAGTACTTTGGCCACATAATGAGAAGACAGGAAAGCTCGGAGAAGATAATGGATGTTGGGGGAAATGGAAGGAAAAAGGAAGAAGGGCCAACCAAGGACAAGATGGATGGATGTTATCCTTGAAGTGACTGGCTTGACCTTGAAGGCACTGGGGGTGGCCACGGCTGATGGAGCACTGGCGTGGGATGGTCCATGAGGTCACGAAAAGTCGGAAACGACTGAAGAATAATCAACAACCACTCCTTTTAGACCCAGGGCTAAGGGAAATGAAGGGATCAAAATAGATCTATTGTGTCTAGGTTAAGTAAGGGAGGCCCCTCCTCTCACTTCCACCGTCATCATAAGTACAACTTGTGGGGACGAGGGAGAGAGCCTTCTCTGCTGTGGCCCCTCGGCTCTGGAACTCACTGCCTGGTGAGATTAGGCAAGCTACCTTGGCAGCTTTTAAGAAACACCTAAAAACTTAGCTTTTCCAATGTGTCTTTGGCGAGTAACTATATTTTTCATATGCAGTCTGTTCCAACTACTGCTCTGTCCTCATGAAGCACTTTCCCCCAGCCCTTAATGAAGGCCTAACTCTACTGTTCCGGTCCTTTTGTGTTCCTCCCTCAGAAACTCATTCTCCCTCAGAAACACATTCCACATATCTCATCCAGGGTTTTATCAATTTTATTCCTAGTACACTTGGCCCGCCCACTGTGTTCTATTTCTCTATCATGTTATTTTGAAACTGTTTATTTTATTTTGTTATTTTATGTATTTATTTTGATGGTATTTTTGCTTCTTGTATTTTATTTTGCTGTACTGTAATTTTGGGCTTGGCCTCATGTTAGCCACTCCAAGTCTCCTTTGGGGAGGTGGTGGTGGGGTATAAATAAAGTTTATAATTACTAAGTGGCTCTTTGTAATGTCACTGGAAAAGAAAGAGAATCAAGTACCTTGACTGCTGCTAGGTGCCATGTATGAGGGAGGGAGCATTGCCATGGAGACATTGTGAGGTAGGCCTTCTCAGAGCTGGAGAAAGGAGAAAGCTGAGGAGCAGCAGCCCCTCCGGCATTCAGGCAATGCTGGCTATGTACGCTAGTACTAAAATAAACACAAGTGTTTCAGTAAGCATACATTTAAACTCAAGAGAATTTTAATGGGTTACTTGCAAAATATTATTGCAGGCAACAACGTCTACACAGTTTTAGTTCCAAATCCACAAAAACACACAAAATTTATACAAATTAGCATAGTAAAAATTAAAGCCTTGGAGGCTTTGCTGGCAGAATTAATTTGTAGATTTTAGAATGGGTGTTCCTTGCATTTTTCTTTCTTTTTCCCCTTTTCTTACAAAAAAATTTACAAGTGAAATATTACTACAAAACTTTTTATAAGATTTTTCTGCAAAACATTTACAATTTCACCACCAACTATTTTTCTGTTTCAAAATCAGTATGTAGATTTAACACCCTATGTTGCACATCAATTTTTGAAGGATGACAACTTAAGTGACATGCATAAAAAAACCCACAAGGCATTAGAAATGGAGACTTAAATACAAATATTGTTGCAATAAAACATTATAAAAATTGAAAAATAGGACCCAAACGTCATGCTTACCTAAATTTAACAAAAACCTTTGCTCCTAAATTACACACACTTATTACTTCTCCTCATGAAACAGTGTGATAAATAATGACATAACACCGATTTCTAATGTAATCAGGGAACACATACACAACCTTATCCCAAGAAAGTATATTGAAAATAAAATAAAACTATTCCAACACTGGAGTTCTACCATGATAAATACACTCTGCACTGATAAGTACAATAAAGCAAAAAAAATATATATTCATAATGGTGGCAAAGGGAATGAACAGTGAAATGCCATTAAACAAGCTACTACTGCACATCTGTGCCCTATTATGCACAACAGTTATATTCCACTGAGTCAAATAAAGGACACTGAAATTTACGATCCTTCTAAGACTGAAAAGTGGACTCAGAATGGTATGCAGAACAGACTATCATAATGTTTAATTCCAGGAGTAGTAAGTGCACCTGCTAACATGGATTATTTTTTATTAAATTCTACGATACCTTTTGATACATGTGTAATAGGGATTTTCTGCAGATTGAAAACTTCCATTTCAGGTCTGCATGCTTAAATATGCAGAAAAGAATATCTAACAGTTGTGCAGAGTATTTATACCTTAAGTTCACAAAAAATGCTTAACATGATTCTGTATGGAATTTTTTAAACTTGCTTAACAGATTTTACAGCACTGATTATGAGGCAGAATGATAAAATATATATTTTATGTTGCAGTTTATTTGCAAGAAAAGTTAATTAACATTACCTAATGGCCACCTGTATTAAATGTATCCTCAATCCGATTCTGGCATTTAAAGCCAGGAATATCAACTGAAAATATTTTAAATAAAAATATATGGAATAATATACAACAAAACTTTAAAGATTCTTAAATGTCTGAAAAACATTTAAGAAACTTGAAACCACAGTGTAAAATTGTTTTCTTTTTTCCCATGTATATAAGCTGATGTTATAAAATTGCTTTTCAGCTTCGTATGACACTACGTAGGGGCATCCCTAGTGTGCACAGTATGAATTACTTCGATCTTTTCTTTAAAAATGTGTGCAATGCCACAAAATTTGGACTTGTATAAAAAATTTGCTCAAATATCTCTCAACAGGAAAGACCATTTTAAAAAGAAGTCTTTTACACTGTACTTTTAAAGCAAAGTGTTAAAACATTTTGGTGTAGAATGTTAAAAACCAGGGAATCATGAGATTTAGCACAACAGAGGTGGTTTTTAAAATGTTCTATTAATGCCAATGGGAAATTATTAAAAATCCAGATTATATTTGGCCATACTTCTATTATGTAGTCAAATCTGCACACAAATCTATCTACAAGAGATAACTGAATATAGAAATTGTTTTTCAAGTGTGGCAGATGTAGATGAGTATTCCTATTTAATTTATCACCATTGTCCTATTTGAATAAATGTTGTCTTTTAATGAAAATCTCATCCGTATTCTGGGCTAGTTATGGCTAACTAGATACCTTTGACTGAAACTAGGTCTGGGACATATAATGTTATTTTTTATTGTGCTGTATTCAAGAAATAAGCATTGATAACTTAATTTCTTATCTCTATGGTAAAGGTATATATAAAATAGTTATATTACTGAAAAAGAAAATTTATGGGTCAAGAAAACATTATTTAAAATTATGTTTTGCTGGCCTTTTTAGGGTGGTATGCATAAAAGGATAGAGAGGACAAGTTTTGCTAGAATCCGAAAACAATGAGACTTGCAGTGAGACTTCGATTTATCAAGTAGGAGCCCTCAATGCCACATAGCAGGCCTCCTCTGAGAATTTCATATGAAATTATATGGCAAATAAGCTTTATTTTTTAAGTTCTAAAAATCTTACTAGTACACTGAAAGCCTTGGGCAAGCCAAGTTGCTCTTTGGATTCGGAATATTGTTTTCCTTAAGGAAAGAGAAAATGTAGATTAACTTAAAGAGTTAAACTTTTGGTTCACCCTTTTCTTTGGCTGTCATGTCAAGGTCTAAAGAATTAATGGCAATATCTGATATTGACAAAAGATTGACAGTGATGTATATGTACAACATTCTACTCATAATTTCCAAGTATCGCAATAAAAATTTAAATATTTCAATCACTAACTTTGTAACTGAAGTTAACCAAGGTTTAGCAATAAATCACCTACATCTTGAAATGGAATGAGTTCAGGACTTGTTATATAGATTCCCATATTTAATTTTTACATAGAAATTAATTAAAATCTTATGTCAATATATTTCTAAGATTCAACAGTTGCTACAGTATACACTGGCTCTACAGACTTCTTACCTCTCCTAGAAAGAGAATAATCTGTGTTTATTGATTGTCATTATACACACTACTATAATGTAGTGGCCAAAATTATCTGAGATAAACCTCAGACCCAATGAACATGCTGCCATCTGAATTATTCATTTAAAATGAGCAGAGTCTGCCAAATTTAGGATAGATATTTAACAAATTAAATTGAAACAAACGATTCTCAGCTTCATGAGACTATTCTTGGATTTTGTTGTTGTGCCTTTTTGGACAAAATATTCCAGTGAAAATACTATAAACTTTTGTGTGAGAAAAAAAACCCCTAGCCAACAGCCGTTCTGTTGCATAATTTACTTTGTTTGTTGCTGCAACAAACATTTAAAAAAGAAACCCCAATTAAAAATCCTTTATGATCATGATATAGACCTATATAAATGTATATAGTGTGGAAGCAATATATTTCCTCATCTGCTTTATCCATAATTTATCAATGCCAATTGGCTCTCTTTTGAAAAAAAATGTCTTGCTGTTCAGTGTACACTTCCTGTGCTAATTCTCCAACTTGGAATACTTACAGAAATCAAGACCAAATACATGATTTCCTGCTCTGTAATACACTTTTACCAGCCCACTTCCGTATCTTGAAAGGTATGTAAACTTAAGTGCAGTTCTAGGCATTCGTATAATGTTCAGAATTCCTCTATGTTGGTTGAAACATTAGGAGTTGCTGGATTTGAATCTTGAGAGATGGTGGCAACTGCAACAATCCTTGGAGACCCAAGAACCTCAGTCACTGAAGAGTCCAATTCACCTGAAGTAACAATAGCAAGGGCAGTTCCCCCACCCTTCTTGTTTTGATGGGTTTTGACGTGTTTGGAGAGATGGTCACTTCGCATAAATCTTTTAGAACACTCTGGGCATTCAAATCTTTTCTCACCTATCAGGAAAAAACAAAAACACAAAAGACAGCCTTTTAATACTAACAGCACAATGCTAAATTATGATAGTAATAATGAAAATGCTTTTAAAATTAATTAATATTTTGGGGATACTATTAACATGTATATTATCACTCAGTAAAACAGGATGCATATGTATATGGAAATGTATATATTTTACACACACACACTATATATGTGTGTGTATGTGTGTGTTTTAATTCTATGTCTTAATGTCTAAATGTTGCTGTGTTATGGTTTAATATGGTTTTTAATAGTTTAACACAAATGTGCTATTGTTTGATTTTATGTTTTGCTTTTTCACATGTATGTTGGCATTACATTTTGCCATGACTATGCTGGAAACCGCTTTGAGTCCCCTCAGGGGTGAGAAAAGCAGTATATAAAAACAGTAAATAAATACTGGTCTGGATCAGCTACATGGTAGAATTAATGTAGTCTGACATGACTTTAGAAACTGCCATAACTCAATGCTCTGGAATTATGGGAGTTGTAGTTTTATAAGGTCTCTAGACTCCTCTGCTAAAGACTGCTGATGCCTGAGCAAACTATAATTCCAGGGATACCATAGCGGACAACAATGTTATTGTATGGTAGTAAAAGTGCATGGTATGGCAGTTTTGGAGCAAGCATTTGGCCCATCATAAATATCTGTGCAATACAGTTGGAACTGACCCTGGATTGATGAATATGGTTATTTGACTATCTGGCTCTGGATTTATACACAATGGTTGTTTAATGTTTACATATGTTGTTTTAAATTGTTGTTTAATTGCTTTTAATTGTTGTTTGGGCATGGAATAATGCCAATTATGTAAGCCGCCTTGAGTCCCCTTCAGCGTGAGAAGGCCGGGATATAAATGTGATAAATAAATAAATAAAGGTGGTGTCAACCTGGCAGTTTCCACAGTAAAGATGTTCCCAAAGTTACATACTTCATTATATCTAAAATCAATGAAACCAGTTATCTATACGCTAACTTTAAATGCATTTCAATGGTACTGAAGCTTGACGAAGTGAAGACTAAAACATTTTCTGCAGTGACTAATGTTACATTAGCCTTCTGGCAGATGGTAGTGCAGGTGTATCTAGGAGTGAGAATATTACATCCATACTAAAATCACTGTGCTAGTTGCCAATTAGTTTGCTGCCAAAGTACAAACAGTTGGTTGTGATCTTTAAAGCCCCACATGATTTGGGGCCAGGTTATCTAAATAATCACCTTCTCCCATGTAATCCACTCCACACTAGGGTCCTGGGTGGGGGAGGGGGGGCTACTCCAGTTTGCCACAGCCCAACTGGCAGTTGTCACCTAAAGGACCTTTCCATCAGCTGCTCCTAGACTGTGGCATGAAGTGGCAGAAATTTGACAGCTAAATGAGCTGTCAAAATATCCTACTGAGTCAATTTTAAACTATGAATTTTAACTTTACATTTTATTAGTATTGGTGTTTTATTTATTTATTTACATCATTATATCTCGCCCTTCTCAACCCCGAAGGGGACTCAGAGTGGCCTTACAACTTAGGCAACAATTAGATGCCAGAAATAACATATAATAAAATAAACATTTATATTAAAACTAACAATCAAAACATCACAATTTAAAACCAATTATTAAAATCATGCCATCCAAAATCATCTTCTGGCCCATTTCAGTTCACTATTCATTATTCTCTTACTGCACTAAAAACTTGCTATTCAAAGCTTGGTCACATAACCACATTTTTACTTTCTTCATGAAGGTCAGGAGGGAGGGGGCTGCTCTATTTTTGCTAGGGAGGGAGTTCCATAGCTGAGGAGCCACCACTGAGAAGGCCCTGTCTTTCACCCCTACCAACCACACCTGCAAAGGAGGTGGGACTGAGAGCAGGGCCTCCCCAGACAATCTTAATCTCTGAGGTTGATCATAGAGGGAGATATGTTTGGACAAGTAAGCTGTATTTTAAAATTTGTTCTATGAATTTTAATATATGTATTTCAATGTTATTGTGTTTTATCTATCGGTTCCAACTATGCTGTACCCTGCTTTAAGACATAAGAAGTGGGCAACAAAAAAAAAACTGATGGTGATGAAAGGTTCTTTTTTATTATCTTAAATTTATATCCTGTCTTTTACCTAGTATGTGACCCAAGGTGCCTTACAAGATGATTTTTAAAAAAAATTACAATGACAACAGATACCGTGAAAGTGAAAAACAATGAAATAAGCAGTAATACTTACAACATTTAAACCATTTTTAAAAGGATGTCATTTTTTATTGTTTGTTGTATTTCATTTTGCAATTCATTCAAAATCCCCAAGCTGCCTTGCACAGGACTCCTCCCAGGAAACCTGTGTATTTCTTAACTAGCTTCCATGATATTTCTGAATACAGATGCAAGACATTCTTATATAAGGTTTCTATATAACAGATTTGAAGATAAGCCACATAGAGGCAGCTCTGAGAGACATGGGATTGGAATCACCTCAGCAGAAATCATAATGTATTACTGCAAATTAGTTACATTATTAAAGAAAATATACTTTACAGAAATCTTTGTATAGATCGGTTCACTGACCCGTATGTGTTCGTCTGTGTCTTTGCAATTCATCACTTCTTGTAAATCTTTTCCCACAAAAGATCCAATTGCATATAAATGGTCTTTCACCAGTATGCCAGCGAAGATGTGCTCGCAGATGAGATGTTTTCCCATACACTTTTCCACAACCTTCAATATGGCAAATATGTTGTTTCTTTTTTCCTGGTTCATTACCGCTTCTACCAAACACATAAAACAATAACACTTAGCTTAGCACAATTTAGAATGAGCACTCAGAATAAAGATGAATTAATTTCATTAAGAGAGGTAACAGGAATGCAAAAAGATTACTGTCAGCCCCCAAATACCAGATATTTTACAACTATTCTGACAATTACCTTCCTTCTCCTTCTCTGCAATTAGGGCATGAGCAAGCAACTCTTTTTAACCTTTTTCCAGGCTGCACATCTTGATCAGACGCTTGCTGGGCTTGCTGCAACTGAACCTGAGCTATCTGGTCAGGACTAACTGCACCAATTGTGGCATTCGCAATGCCTCCTACAGCTACAGTTACAGGAGCTATTGTGGCTTGTTGTACTTTCACGCCTCCATCCTGTCCTTGTTGCTGACCTGCAAAACAAAAAAGACAAATCATTTAACTTATCAGATTGTTTAAAGATCGCAATGTAGTTTTAAACACTTGTTTTATTCTATTATAAGAATCACCTAGAGTTCTCTGATGTAGATAATGCTTTTGAGTGGCAGGTTCCATCCCTTCATAAGTTATTCAATGCAGAACTCTATCTTAAAAAAGGAAAGTTTCATTTTATTGAAATCTCAAAAATATACAGTACTAATTTCAAATAGGCAGAAACATGTGTTTACAAAATTGGTGGATGTCCTATGTGTGATAACTGTTGTCTTGGCTGCAGTTGTTCCAATACTGTGTGGTGAACTACTGTGGGAAGAATTTGATGACAAAGTGGACATGACTGCTTAGGAAAAAATAGTTTAAAATGTTGACAAAACTTGACTGCATCTCCCCATAATTGTTGTTCTTCAACTGGTTGCTATAAATTAAACATACTGTGGCACCTTAAATATTGTAAATAAGGCATGATATACATTTGTCACATAACAATTTAAGAATAAATTGGGATTACTCATTTTCAGGGCCAGCCACCAGAAATTTCTGGAAAACCCAAGATCTCTTGGAATGCTCCAATCATCTCCCTTCAGGAAATTGTGTGTATGTGTGTGTGTGTGTGTATCTTTGAGCAGGTTTTGAAAGGAGGGACAAGTGGCTTCCACAGAGTTTTCCATATCCCACCATAAAGAGCTAGGTAGCAAGATCAGCGTCTGCAATAGGGACAGGAAAGCAGGATGTGTAATTATATAGACAAGCCAGATTAGATGAGGCCATAGTTGTTGTTGTTATATTTATTTGTACCTCGCTTTATCTTCCCAAAGGGGATTCACAGTGGCTAGACAACTTGCAGAGGATATCAAATCTAAGAAAATTAACTTCCAGGGAAACAAAAAAATGTTTTTGATTGATCTTTTCTTTGATGAATATTAAGAAATTGGAATTTATTGTGACAGTCATGTTCTCAGTCATGATGAAAACTAAGTACATCAAAGTGATAACTACATTTTTTTAAACTAAATATTAATTCTGGCATAATGGCACATTTTGGAAGTCTCATCCTGAAGAACCGGGCTAAGAACCTCTTTCCATTATATGACCAGTCATAATCGGCCAAGCAGAGAAAATCTAGATTACCCATTTAATTGATGTATTTTGCTTGCTGTTGATATTCAGTCATTTCCTATATAAAGAATGATCTCTGTACCCACAAAGAATATGTTCCAGGGCTTCTCATAAATATGTGAAACCACAGATAATAACAAACACAGTGTTTGTGCTCCTAATCACTTCCTGTCCCGTGGGTAAATCTCTGGCCCCTTCCTTGTCATATCTCACCTACTTCAACTATTTTCTCTTTAGTCAATTACCTGTTGTTGTTATTATCATTGTTGTTGTTATTTATTGCATTTATATACTGTTTTTCTCACCAAGGGGACTCAAAGCGGTTCACATCAAATAAATGGCAAAAATTCCTTGCCTCACATACAATAAAAACAGTATGTCACACATCTAAAACAATAACATATAACTATAAATTAAACCATTAAAACTATAAACCATCAAACATAAACATAAAACATTTTAACATTGCACTGATCCCGAGGTTGTCATCTATCTGTTACATTATTGTTGTTACTCACCAAATGCTTGTTTGCATAACAAAGTTTTTAGTTGTTTTCTAAATACCAGGAGGGAGAGGGCCTATCTAATTTCACTGGGAAGGGAGTTCCACAGCCGAGGGGCCACCACTGACGGAAGGGAGAGCAGGACTTCCCCCGCTGATATCAATGCCCTAGCTGGCTCATAAAGGGAGATGCGTTTGGATAGGTAAGCTATACCTGCTCCCTAATCCTGTCTCTCATTTCAATATAGTACTCTTTCTCCAAAATTACTGAAGTTCAGATCATGTCACATACTTCCACAGATCTTTGCAGTGCATTTCCCTACCCTTCAAAATCCTAGGGAAAATCCTTGTTCTTACTTCAACAGAACATGCTGATCATGGAGGATAACATTTAAATTTCATTTATATTTAATATGATTATGTTCTATTTACTATGACAAGAAAAGTGCTATTAGTTTTAAAAATAAGTTCCAGTTTGTTATTAATAATACTATTATTTGAAGAAGGGGTAGGTTGCCATTCTGGCTTTTTTTTTTATTCTTGTTAGTAAGGCTGGCTGAGAATTATTTTTCCTTTTAGACAAGATAGGGACGTTCTCAAATAATTTATGAAACAGTCCTTGGTTTAAAATGGATCATCTAGAGATTACTTTACTTTCAAGTGAGTATTTATGAACCTTTAAGTTCATAGCATCTCCAAAGAGATATGTCTAGGACACAAAACTTTCTAGGGGATTAAAGGGAAGATAGATGGTTTGTTTGTGAAGATCAATTTAGGAAACTACAGCAAGTCGTACAACTGCAAATCAGTCTAGAATCAGAAGATTTTACTTTTGACTGTATTGACAACTACCATCTAAACATGAAGAATATGTGAACTCTTCAAAAACAGAAACTTTACATTATTTGACAAATTATCTTAAGAAATTCTAACCTAAAATGCACAATCCCAAATAATATTGCTTGCTATTAATTACTATTTCAGTGGAATAGTAGTAGCTGCACTTCAGCTGCATGTCATTATTTCTCTCAAAACAGTCCATGCAGCTGGATCTTCATGTCTGCCATGAACAGTCCATGCAGGAAAAATCAAGCTAAATTCATGCTGAACTGTAATATAATGTACATCTTTTTTACATTTGAAAAGCCCTATTAGCTAAATGCTGGAAAGGTTGTGGAGGATTTTACTATTATTCTATTGCAAAATTATATTTAGATTAGTAGAATTGTACCACCCAGGATGTAGTGCTGTTTATCTTGAAATAACCTTTACTTAATCTAATGGGAATTCTTTCTGAGAAAATCTATACAGGAGTGTAGCGAAAGGGTTATTTTCAAAGCACAGAGTTTAAACAGATTTCAATTGCTAACCTGTTCTTATTTCTTTGCTTTGAAAAGGAACAACTATAGGCTACAAATGAATGTGTAGAAGAAAAAGAACCATGGTTGCACCAGTCAGACCTATAGCACTTATTTGAATTCTTTCCTGCACACATGCCTATTAGGCTTGGTTGATCCAAAATAAATAAAAAAAATAAAAAAGTTCAAAACTCGTTTTGGATGTAGGAAGCTTCTAAAGTCACTTCCGAATTTTTAAAATATATATATATTTGAAACTAATGAAACTTCTGAATCACTTTAATGTGGACACGCATGCACAGTAGGAAAATACCAGTACTGGAACTGGGGAAACTTCAGGAGATTCTCCCTCCATCATTTTTAGACCAATCCTGATGAAACTTGCTACAGTGGTAGAACACATGGACCACTGTTAGCTCGCTGAATTTCATAAACTTTGACTTCTCCATGGATTTTTGCCAAAATTTCAAACTTTTATAAAAAAAAATTAATAATAAAGAAAATCTGTTCCTGGTTTGAAAGTGTTATTTCCTGTTTCACTGGGTGGTTTCTACTTTGAAAGTAGTTGTTCTACTCCAGAAACTTTGTTTTTGTGGCATAAGCTGTGTTAAATTGGTGGAGAACAGAAATCATAGTACAGACCCCATCAAGGGACATCTAGACTGATCCTCTTCTTCTGGGCAGAAAGGTATTACCCAAACTCTCCTGACATCCATTTGCTTCCACTACTGAGTTGGAGGGGACCCTCAAGACACATCCATCCATTTATTCCTTTTTGCAGATGCAGTCAATAATTTAATTTTATCATTACTTACTGACTGTAAAGGACTGGCTGGCTGTGGCTGGCTACCCCAGTGCCTTGTTCATGGCAATCAGGCAAAAGTAAGATGATTGCTTTTTTTAAAGATTATGTTCTCTTGGCTTTGTAAAAGTTTGCCTATTGGGTCCATCAAGCTCCATTTAGCTAATAAAGTGGTTTTGTCTAAATCTTTGTCTAAGATATTACAAGACACTTTCTGCCTAAAAAAAAAAAAAGGGGGGGTGTCCATTTTTTATTGTTGAATAAGAGAGTATCAACACCACATTGGACCTTCTCTCCAAGGAAGGTTCATAATATATTATGTTTTATTAACGGATAAAACATAACACAATAACCTATTCAGTTTTGCCCTTGTGCAAAGAGCATACCAAATACACAGAGAACTGAGGGTTGACTTATACTTGAATATATATATATATAGTACTCCGTCCTGAACAGAATATGGGAATTAACCACACTTTTCAGCTAGTTCTTGGCAGCTTAAAAATAATTCCGTCAACAATTTCCAGTTCTTAAGGGGATGATTTTGGATCTGTTCCACACAACTAATTTGAGTAACCTGATTCACTACTCACTCAGCATAATTAGATCTTCTATTAGAATCTGCAATCTAGCATTGCAGACAGAGCATCTATGAATATAGAGTAAGCCCTACATAAGCAACAAATAGCGAAGTGCAACAAGATGGTCTTAGAAGCTAGTCTACTCTCAAAAGAACCAAGATGGTAGCACTCTAAGGGGGTATGAATAGACTACATCATCACAGACTCCGGCTGTGTGGATACCAAGTTTTTGTAAATTCTGCCTTATGTAAAAAGCCAACTGCATGCTAGTAGAGAAACAGCATATAGGCAAAAAAAGTTCTCATTCATCTTTCTCAAAATTGTACACATTTTCTATTGATGTTTAACTAATTTTCTTGGCAAATATAGACATTGTAAATACATGTTGCAGTATAAGAGAATAAAATCTCTAAAAAGCTTTAAAAAAATCACAAAATAATACAACAAAAGAGATATCCCAAATAATACACCCAAAACTGACAGACACATGCTGATATTAACAGTGCTTATTGAAAATGTGGAGGAAATGATGTAGACTTCCCTTCACAGATATAAATGTAAATGAACTAGCTTTTCAACTGCTTACCAAACCAAAATGGTAATCAGAAGTAACACA